TCTGAAAAAAAGAGTATAAAAATCGAGTGACTCTAGACCGTTTAATCTGCACTAAACACAGCTCATTATTTCCATCCGGGACGAAACAAAGGATTTGCTTAGGCGACTGTCACTCCCTCGCAACCATGGCAACCACCCTTTTGCCACACAGGACCTGACTACTTGCGCGTACCCGTTTGATTTGAGGAATTCAAGAGGCACGGAACCTAGGAATAGCAAAACAATGGCAGAGAAAGACCAATCAAAATTCACATATGCAGTTCGCTGGCAAACCAGCCAAAAAAAGGAAGACAGTAACGTTACTAGAACAGGTAATGAACAAAAAGTCTTTGGATAAACAACGATTTATCTGTCCTCGAGCTGACGATGCGGTACTTGTCTCTGGAGAGTGATTATCAGAGTCAACAATGCTTTCATCATGGAAACTCTTACATGCAGAACACCATATATGTTATGAATCTTACACGAAATTCATCTTCATCACAGTGTAAATGATGGCAATGGAAAAACGTGTATCATGCAACCCGTTTTTAGCTTTGCCTTATAGATAACTAGCTCGTTAGCGAATCAATAAATATATATTATAAACTTTACCGATATCAATATGCTAGCTTGATAGTGAGTACTAAAATACATCTTATTTGTTTATCTTCATAATGATACAGTTGACATGATGTCACTACATGCACTGCGCTCCTTCCTCTCCGTTCGTCTCAGGTAAATAATGCGTCTTTAGCTCAGCGGTCGGAGTCACGAGTTCATGTGTTTTGGGGGCGTGGCTTTGGAAGGAGACCAGAAGGGAGGGGGTGGAGTGAATGGAAATAATGAGCTGTCTTTAAAACAGTCGTGAGAGGTCTACAGACATTCGATTTTTATACTTTCTTTTTCAGAGTACTTACATTTTAATTATGCATTGATATATACAGAAAGTTTAAACAAATTTGGAAAAGAGTTTTTTTTTTATAAAAATCCTACGTAGGTACAATACCTTTAAAGTAACACCAGGTAACTTTTCAACCTTCATAATATACTTCCAAGTCTCTTGTGATGGTACATCGACTTACAATAGGTTGAATGACACGTCTGCCATAGCCTGACGGGGTCTGTAGCATTTTTTAATCGTACTTTTAAACTTCGGGTTTCGGGTAGTAACCGGCGAACAAAGAGAACTACAAAATTCGACTGCTTTACGGCATATACGTCACTTCCACCACCACCCCCACTTCCTTAAAATAGGACGTGCGAGCCAAATGTTATAGTCATGGCCGAAGCAGCACAGAAAAACAAGAAAGCAAAGGTTTTATCGGAGCAAAGCAAAAAGAGAAAAAGAGAAAGTAATCGCGTTAATGGCAGAATGAGGATTAACATTGGGCCAGCCTTTTCTCGCTGGCGTGAGCTGAAGGAGGAGGAGGGGTGCCCGACCGATGGGGACTTGGCAAAAAAAAATATATAAAAAAAATCAAATGAAAGCCTATGTCTAAACGGCGTGTACAAGTTCGGTAGGGGCTACATTCTTGCAAGTAAATATATAAGATGTACAAAATCATATTTTAGGATACCTAACATGTCTGTAATATTTGTTTATTTGTCTTGCTTCAAGCTATAATGCAAATCGATTTGTAAAATTTGCAGATTCATTTATTGGTAGCTTGATATTATAATTTTGACGATATATGGTTATTATCTACCACTCAAACATTGCATTGAAGTATCATATAGATTCAGTAAAACGGTAACCAATAGACTAGGCTACTATAATGACGCTGGCTTGTAAATGTGATCATCGCGATCATTTGTCGTTAGAAAAAAAAATAAAACCCATGAAATTATATTCATATGACATGCTGAAATGCCACTGTACCTGGGATGAAGACATTTCACACGCGACGCAAGCAGAACACCTGCATGTGACCTCCTCCTACAGTGTTCAGGGCTATCACGGTTGTCTTGTCAACAATTGCACGTGCATTTAGGATGACGGAGTTTACGACAGTAGTAGAGGTCTAGAGGACAATACTGTTTCCCAACTGTAGGGGGACCCCACCCCGAGAGCAAAAGTAACCTGGTGTTACTTTAAATAAAAGTCCTTAACTTTTTTCTGTTCAAAATTTACAAAATGTATATAATGAGTGAGTTCATCATGAATCCATTTTCCAATCCGTGTTTTTGTCTTATCCTGAACCACTATGGTACACCTATAAAAAGTGTTTACATTGGGACTATTTTACACTGGTTCGGATCGCTGCCGCTGCGGAGTAGCCCAGTACCTGCGTGATTCGTCATAGACTTACACTGAGAGATGTAGTTCCGGCTACAATGTTCTTCCGAAAGACGCATTATTCTGTTAACAAACGCAAGTTTATTATCGCTCGCTATAGCGCCAAAATCATAAAAAATAAAGCCTCACAAATAACATGCAAGTATTGAGGCCCCAGACAACAGTCATTTAGTAATAGCCTATATTCTTTCTTTTTTTTACCTACACACCAGTGTGAATATTTTTGTTTTTGCATTTCAAATAGGGCCAACTAAGGGCCTACTGATGTTTTTGTTATTGTATTTTCAATATTATAGGCTATTATGCATAAACACACCGTTTGTTTGAAAAAAAAAAACATATTTTGTCATCCTTGCTGCAAGTTTACAAGAGCGATAATATCATTAAATGTGAAGGGGGGCCCTAAAATATATTCTTGGGAAAAAGGGGGTCTCAGACAAAAAAACGGTTGGCAACCACTGTTCTAGGCTACTTGAAGCAATCAAAGAAGTCTTCAAAGTTGCAGATTCCTGTAACACACCCGTTTGCTGTGTTTTTAGATCCAGTTCCACGTCACCATTGGCCATGCCACACACTCTCTCTACACGGACTGCCCGTTCCCGGCCTGGATGCAGTGGGCTCTGATCGGTTACGCCGTCACGTTCATCATTCTGTTCGCCAACTTCTACTACCAGACCTACCGCCGCCAGCCACGGCTCAAGTCAGCCAAATCTGCCGTCAACGGCGTCTACACAGCAACCAATGGCACCAGTAAGGCACCGGAGGTCACGGAAAACGGAAAGAAACAAAAGAAAGGAAAAGGAAAACATGACTGAAAAGAAACACGGAAACACTGGGTCTCATGGTGTTCAAGAATGCCCATGTAACCTCAACCATTACAGACTGTTTGGTAATTGTACAAATGAAATGGGTCTTTGTTTTGGTTAACTTGCTCATTGTGTTTCAAACTATAGGGACAACGCAACCAATTCTGTGTGATGTCACTTTCTCGTCACTTTCATGTCCTGATGTTTAGGCTACTTGTGAAAATTTTATAATCTAAAATGTCCATTGTGGCATGCTCGAATCTGGACGCCCAGCAAGCTACTTTGAGATGTTCATAATCATCACAGAATGACAGATATATATGCTTTTTCACTGAAACAGAAACTTAGCTGATTCTCATAAAGTTTTTATCTCATATATATAGGCAGCTGATGAAAGATTCTTACATAAATGGCTCGTCTGGATGCTTCACATGTCCTTCCTCTGGTCTCAGTCGCAGACAGTTTTCTTCACACTCTTGAATCCTGAAACAAGTGATATGGAGTCATTCAAGATGCGAGACTGAATCACTTCCATAACACGTGCGAATAATCACGCAAATTTTCATTTGCTATTTTTTTTATAGCTATAATTATTGTCTGTTTGAATCTTTATTTGTAGTGAAACAGTGGCGTTTAAGGACTCTGGTGACCGTTATTACAAATAGGCGATTTTTAAAGGGGCAATACAATTCTACCAAAGAAAATCACTTTATATTTGGTGGGTTTATACTTTTACATTAGATATGTTTCATTTAATTTTCCTGTACTAAACGAGTTCCTGAGAATGCATGCAGTAATGATGCTATCATGGCTTTATACTCAGGTAGTTTTACATGTTTTTGTTCACATGTAAATTTAGACACATACTGCATACACACACGCTTGTGTCCTTAATATCTATTGCTTTGTGCATGTAGCTTTTTATGAAGTTTTTGCAAAAGTCATATCGCATTACAGCTACACTAATTCAGCTTTTTGTTCCCTTTTATATTCCCACTTAATAAAATCAGCAAAGACAGTTGATCCAGGATAATGTCGTACTTGGTGAAATCACGTTCATCGTGTACAGCTTCAATGTTCCTCTTATAATAAACGAATATACCAATTGATACAAAACTGAATGAAATAAACAGGATGTCAACCTCATTTTCTGTCTTGTCTCACTCTCTCTGATGTATATATGTTGGCCCACTACTCAATTACTAACAAATTACTCGTCTTTTGCTAATAAAAGCATTACTATTATTAGTTCACGCCTCAATTTTAAGCATTAAGGGCCATTTACACCAAGGATGATAACTATAACGATATCTATAAAGTTTTGATAGCTACTATAAAGAAAACGAGCTAGTAACTATTAACAACACAGAGGAACGTTGGAGTCACTTTGAAAATGATAAAACACTGCAGCACACGATTATAATAAACAGAACATTATCGTACGTTGGTGTCGTGGACACTAAAGGGATATTAGATATTAGTCATTAATTACTCACCCTCATGTCGTTCCAAACCCGTAAGCCTTTCGTTCATCAGCTACGCAACTACCACTATGAAGTTTTAAAAATTTCATAAAGAGATTGTAAAACTAATCCATATGAATTGAGCGGTTTAGTCCAAATTTCAATCACTTTATATGATGAACAGATGGAATTTAGGCTTTTATTCACAAAAACATTTATCAACTCACATCAGTTGTGGTAAACGGAAGCTTAAGCATGTTCGCTTGATGTGCGAGAACCAATGAGGGTCATTCTCGTGTTACGCAGCACGTTTGAGCTTCAGCAAGAACCAATGAGGTTCATTCTCGTGTTACGCAGCACGTTTGAGCTTCTGCAAGAACCAATGAGGTTCATTCTCGTGTTACGCAGCACGTTTGAGCTTCTGCAAGAACCAATGAGGGTCATTCTCGTGTTACGCAGCACGTTTGAGCTTCTGCAAGAACCAATGAGGTTCATTCTCGTGTTACGCAGCACGTTTGAGCTTCTGCAAGAACCAATGAGGTTCATTCTCGTGTTACGCAGCACGTTTGAGCTTCTGCAAGAACCAATGAGGTTCATTCTCGTGTTACGCAGCACGTTTGAGCTTCTGCAAGAACCAATGAGGTTCATTCTCGTGTTACGCAGCACGTTTGAGCTTCTGCAAGAACCAATGAGGGTCATTCTTGTGTTACGCAGCACGTTTGAGCTTCTGCAAGAACCAATGAGGGTCATTCTCGTGTTACGCAGCACGTTTGAGCTTCTGCAAGAACCAATGAGGGTCATTCTTGTGTTACGCAGCACGTTTGAGCTTCTGCAAGAACCAATGAGGGTCATTCTCGTGTTACGCAGCACGTTTGAGCTTCTGCAAGAACCAATGAGGTTCCTTCTCGTGTCACGCAGCACGTTTGAGCTTCAGCAAGAACCAATGAGGTTCCTTCTCGTGTCACGCAGCACGTTTGAGCTTCTGCAAGAACCAATGAGGGTCATTCTCGTGTTACGCTGCACGTTTGAGCTTCGGCAAGAACCAATGAGGTTCATTCTCGTGTTACGCAGCACGTTTGAGCTTCAGCAAGAACCAATGAGGGTCATTCTCGTGTTACGCAGCACGTTTGAGCTTCAGCAAGAACCAATGAGGTTCCTTCTCGTGTTACGCAGCACGTTTGAGCTTCAGCAAGAACCAATGAGGTTCATTCTCGTGTTACGCAGCACGTTTGAGCTCCTGCAAGAACCAATGAGGTTCCTTCTCGTGTTACGCAGCACGTTTGAGCTCCTGCAAGAACCAATGAGGTTCATTCTCGTGTTACGCAGCACGTTTGAGCTCCTGCAAGAACCAATGAGGTTCCTTCTCGTGTCACGCAGCACGTTTGAGCTTCAGCAAGAACCAATGAGGTTCCTTCTCGTGTCACGCAGCACGTTTGAGCTTCTGCAAGAACCAATGAGGGTCATTCTCGTGTTACGCTGCACGTTTGAGCTTCGGCAAGAACCAATGAGGTTCATTCTCGTGTTACGCAGCACGTTTGAGCTTCAGCAAGAACCAATGAGGGTCATTCTCGTGTTACGCAGCACGTTTGAGCTTCAGCAAGAACCATTGAGGTTCCTTCTCGTGTCACGCAGCACGTTTGAGCTTCTGCAAGAACCAATGAGGGTCATTCTCGTGTTACGCAGCACGTTTGAGCTCCTGCAAGAACCAATGAGGTTCCTTCTCGTGTTACGCAGCACGTTTGAGCTTCAGCAAGAACCAATGAGGTTCATTCTCGTGTTACGCAGCACGTTTGAGCTTCAGCAAGAACCAATGAGGGTCATTCTTGTGTTACGCAGCACGTTTGAGCTTCAGCAAGAACCAATGAGGTTCATTCTCGTGTTACGCAGCACGTTTGAGCTTCAGCAAGAACCAATGAGGGTCATTCTTGTGTTACGCAGCACGTTTGAGCTTCAGCAAGAACCAATGAGGTTCATTCTTGTGTTACGCAGCACGTTTGAGCTTCTGCAAGAACCAATGAGGTTCATTCTCGTGTTACGCAGCACGTTTGAGCTTCTGCAAGAACCAATGAGGTTCATTCTCGTGTTACGCAGCACGTTTGAGCTTCAGCAAGAACCAATGAGGGTCATTCTTGTGTTACGCAGCACGTTTGAGCTTCAGCAAGAACCAATGAGGTTCATTCTTGTGTTACGCAGCACGTTTGAGTTTCTGCAAGAACCAATGAGGTTCATTCTCGTGTTACGCAGCACGTTTGAGCTTCAGCAAGAACCAATGAGGGTCATTCTCGTGTTACGCAGCACGTTTGAGCTTCAGCAAGAACCAATGAGGTTCCTTCTCGTGTTACGCAGCACGTTTGAGCTTCAGCAAGAACCAATGAGGGTCATTCTCGTGTTACGCAGCACGTTTGAGCTTCTGCAGGAACCAATGAGGTTCATTCTTGTGTTACGCAGCACGTTTGAGCTTCTGCAGGAACCAATGAGGTTCATTCTCGTGTTACGCAGCACGTTTGAGCTTCTGCAGGAACCAATGAGGTTCATTCTCGTGTTATGCAGCACGTTTGAGCTTCTGCAGGAACCAATGAGGTTCATTCTTGTGTTACGCAGCACGTTTGAGCTTCTGCAAGAACCAATGAGGTTCATTCTCGTGTTACGCAGCACGTTTGAGCTTCTGCAGGAACCAATGAGGTTCATTCTTGTGTTACGCAGCACGTTTGAGCTTCTGCAGGAACCAATGAGGTTCATTCTCGTGTTACGCAGCACGTTTGAGCTTCTGCAGGAACCAATGAGGTTCATTCTCGTGTTACGCAGCACGTTTGAGCTTCTGCAGGAACCAATGAGGTTCATTCTCGTGTTACGCAGCACGTTTGAGCTTCTGCAGGAACCAATGAGGTTCATTCTCGTGTTACACAGCACGTTTGAGCTTCAGCAAGAACCAAATTGATCGTGTCTTTTCAGAAAATTTGGACTAAACCGTTTAATTCATATGGATTAGTTTTGCGACCTCTTGATGAACTTTTTGAAGCATCAAATTGGCAGTTGCTGTCAATGGAGGGACAGAAAGCACTCAGATTTATTAAAAAGATCTCCATGTGTTACGAAGATGAACAAAAGTCTTAGGGGTTTGGAGCGACACGAGGGTGAGTAATTAATGACAGAATTGGGTGAACTATCCCTTTAATATCGCTATAGTTCCTCATAGGAATGGGCCTTTAAACGTAACAATTTTGCTATAAGTGTTAGAAGAGATGTGATGTTCCCTTTTCCAAATGATTAGAAAGAAAATCCTAATAACTTTTAATTGGAGGACAGGATGACAGGTCTGGCCCCAGTCACATTCATCTTAGTTGTTCACAGACACACTGCCTCCGTCTCTCTCCTTCCTGGACTTCTAATTAAGTGTCCTTTCGGCTGTGATGGAGCTCCCAGGCCAGAGCTTTGAGGGGTTGGGCAGACAGATCTGCTCTAATCAGGCCGTAAATTGGCTTTCACTGTAAAAGAGCTTATATCCACGTCAGAGCTTGTAGCGTCATTCAGGTCACTGCAGGAGAAACATACACTGGTATCAAACTAAAACTATTAAACAGACCGGATGGATGCAATAAATATGACATTTAGACATGACAATAGGAATATTTCACAGGCATATATCCACCTGAAAGCTAGAAATGTTCTATATAGTGAGCCAGATAAGAAAATAAATGTCCATTATGCAGGAAAAAATAAGCAAATGCTTTTTAATCTGAGAAATGTAATCTCTTAATAATTTTTTCAAGGAAATTGTTTTCTTTTATTCCCTAAAATTTCTAATTTGTATTTCACAAGTGGCCTTATTATTAAATTAATTTGAACTTTTTGCCATCTTCCTCAGGGAACAAGCATTTCAAATTATTTTATATTTTAAATTATGCGATTTAAAAAAACAGAATCCATGTCAATGAAAAATGTAAATGGCCACAGCTATTGTCAAAAAGACTTCTCATACGTTACAGCAACATAGTCTTTGATTTAAAGAAAATTACTTTAAATTGTGCATTTTAATTATAACCATTGTTAATTATGGACAGGCTTTCATGGGAAAATCTCCTCTGCTCTGTTTCCGAAGCTTTAATACTTGAGTGCAAAATACATTGAAACATTTAGATTTTTACTCCAGATACTGTATTATTTTGATACAGTACAGCCATACTCTAACCCAAGTACATAAACATAAATTGTACTTTTTACACATTTTACTCTACAAGTTAACTGTACTGATTATAGTTTAGAGAAAAGGCCTTTGTTTAACTCATACTAGCATCTTTAAATTTTTATTTTCCAAACCCATTCTACTCTCTCTCTCTCTCTCTCTCTCTCTCTCTCTCTCTCTCTCTCTCTCTCTCTCTCTCTCTCTCTCTCTCTCTCTCTCTCTCTCTCTCTCTCTCTCATATATTCTTATAGTGTCGGTGGGATGACGCTGCTGCTCTCTCTCTCTCTCTCTCTCTCTCTCTCTCTCTCTCTCTCTCTCTCTCTCTCTGAACAAGGATGTTTGTCAGTAAGCGGATTGCAAATAGGCCAGAGATTTCCACTGGCCCTATTAACAGAAAGTGGTTTCACCTTTCTCTCAACCTGTTCCACTGATAATATACATTACCTGAGATAATTGGCTCCTCTTTGTGTCTGTCTACACAAAAAGCCACCTATCATGGACTATACACAATAACGCAAGTGCAACCCAACATTTCTAAATGGTAGCCTACACATATGTACTATTCTTTTGAGTTCATTAGGCTACTGTCTGTGAGACATACGTACAAAGCAATTGTGAGCAAAAGGATGGATAGATATTGTAATTCACCACAGAATTTAAAACAGCAGCGACCTCAAAATATGTAATAAGTTATGCTACTGCTGTTGTTCATAACTTATTTCCAGTCAAGTACACAGATAGACAGACGGCGCTCTCTAGTGTTCACAGGTAGTATTACAAACTGATATCACAGTGCAAATGACCTGAGGTTCACTTGTGACTCACTGACATTTAAACAGTGCAATTTAGAGCATTTCATTAAACGTGATAGTAAAAGTGCTAACTGCATATGAGAGAGAGAGAGATTTATTTAAATCTCAGACCAAGTCTAGCGATTAGCCTAACCAAGACTATGGGCACTGAGAAATTGTGAAAAAAAAAAAAAAAAAAAAAAAAAAAAAATATTAACAGCACATGCTCTAAAATCTAAATATTTGATGTGCCTTCGCTGCTGAGGTACATAGCATATTGTCTGTTGTAGTTCGACTACTGGACTGAGTGACTGTGGCACAAACTGCAGACTGACCTTTTGAATCTATTCTTGTATAGTGTCGGTGGGATGACGCTGCATTTATCTGTAAAGCAGCAAACTCCAGCAGCATCAGTCTTCCTCATCCGTGGGTTTTAAAGGGACAGCACAACTGTATACATCGACCTAGATGAAGAATATGGTCATGCATATGTTGGCCTTTATAAGCCTATTAGCCTAATAAACAGTCAATATCCTAATATGCATGCTAATAAATAACTAATAGTGGGAACTGAGCCCTAAACTAAAGTGTTGCCGTGTGTTTATATAGGCCAATATTTATATTTATATAAAACAAAGTATTTTGAGAAAAGGTTCTCACACTTCCTTAAGTGACGTCACCTCATGAATATTAAACGTCAGTGTCTCGCGAGCCTAAGCAGTGCCTGGTACCCTCGAGCTGAAGGGGAACTATCCCACTCACAGAGGAAACAAATGAACACAGTTCATAAACAGGTAAGAAACCATCGCGATAATTTAATGTTCTTGAAGAATAACTCAAATTACGACTGCACCAAATATGTAACCATTAGAGTAGCCTATAGGCTATGATTATTTGGACAAGCTATAAACTTGCAAAGTAGAGAAAACATGTTAGGCTATAGGAAAGGAAGTCTACTGCGACCGATGTAAAAAGAAACTTTACTGTCACATAGCTACATATGTGTTTAAAAATTAATGTTCATAGAACTCACCTAGGTCGATCTGTAAATGACATTAATTCACATTTTTTGAGGTTTGTCCTCCTTCACTCTAACAAATACTGGGTTGTTTCATCCCATGTTTGGGTCACATATGGACAAACCCAACCGTTGTTTTACATTTTTAAACCCAACTGTTGGTTACATTTCTTTACAATTTTAAACCCAACCAACTACTTTTTTTTTTTTGTTCTTTACCCAAACATCGGTTGAAACACATCTCAGCATTTTTTAGTGCAGAAAATTGCTGTTCTAATTCGATTATATTGGTTTATATTATGGATTTTATTTATTAATTAAATTATATGCACACACACATTTATAGCCATAAATATGTATAGGCCTACTGTGATGATGTACCTAGTTGTATTATGCACTAACAAAGTGTCATATTTCGTTTTTTCCCTCTTAAATGTCATAAAATTGATAAAAGTGTTGTTGGAGGTCTGCGATATGAAATGATGAGCTCTGCCGCAAGTGGCGCTGCGGATTTTCCACCATCAGCGGACAGTACCGAGGGGAGGAGGAGACCGTCTCCCGGACAAAACCCCGTCAAACCGGCCTCAAAACCCAGCGGCAGCCGCTCCTCATCACCCGCTGCGTCGAAGCTCGGAGGAAAAGGCGTTAAAGGCGTAAAAGGACGCGAGGGACAGCAGGCGGCTCAAGAAGAGGCGCGTGAAGTGAGGGTGCGAGGTGCGGCAGCTGTTCGTGGTGCTGAAACTGAGGCGGTTTGGGAAACCGAGGAGCGGATTGATCGCGCTCCACCACCGGACACGCGCCGCGCGCTGCGTTTACCGTGCGTCAACAGAGACTCGTCCTCGGCGCAGCCTGACGGCTCGTACGGTGCTGTTGTGAGGGGGGAAGAGAGGGAAAGAGAGGCCGCTGCGGGAGGAGAGTACGTGGGCTGCGGACCGGCCTTCTGGGGCGGAGGCTGTCTGCAGTCAGAGCTCATCCAGTTTCACATCAACAAGCGCTTGAAGAAAAGCGGCAGGATGCAGCGCACAGCGTCGGTCGAGACGCAACCGGGCCCGGGACCCGCCGCACAGGCCACGAGCGCCGCAGACGAGCCCGTGACACAGCAGAATGAAGCCCTGCAGGACGAGATCGAGAGATTGGAGGATGAAAACGAAGACCTTAAGGTTTGTTTGTTATACATGAGAAAATGTATGAAACACTAATCATGCTACAATATATATGGATGAATGAAAACATGATAGATAGCTAGATAGATAGTCAGAGGAAGATTGATGGACATACAGAGTTGTTAGATAGATAGATAGATAGATAGATGGATAGATAGATAGATAGATAGATAGATAGATAGATAGATAGATAGATAGATAGATAGATAGATAGATAGTCAGAGGAAGATGGATAGACGTACAGAGTTCTTAGATAGATAGATAGATAGATAGATAGATAGATAGATAGTAAGAGGAAGATGGATAGACATACAGAGTTCTTAGATAGATAGATAGATAGATAGATAGATAGATAGATAGATAGATAGATAGATAGATAGATAGAGGAAGATGGCTGGATAGACAGTCTTTTTGAAGAGCTGAAGATGATAGATAGATAGATAGATAGATAGATAGATAGATAGATAGATAGATAGATAGATAGTCAGAGGAAGATGGATGGACATACAGAGTTCTTAGATAGATAGATAGATAGATAGATAGATAGATAGATAGATAGATAGATAGATAGATAGATAGATAGATAGTCAGAGGAAGATGGATAGACATACAGAGTTCTTAGATAGATAGATAGATAGATAGATAGATAGATAGATAGATAGATAGATAGATAGATAGATAGATAGAGGAAGATGGCTGGATAGACAGTCTTTTTGAAGAGCTGAAGATGATAGATAGATAGATAGATAGATAGATAGATAGATAGATAGATAGATAGATAGATAGTCAGAGGAAGATGGATGGACATACAGAGTTCTTAGATAGATAGATAGATAGATAGATAGATAGATAGATAGATAGATAGATAGATAGATAGATAGATAGATAGATAGATAGATAGGTAGATAGTCAGAGGAAGATGGATAGACATACAGAGTTCTTAGATAGATAGATAACCATTAGCAAAGTTGATAAATGATACATGTTGGTGATGTTGATTACTGAGCAAACCTGAAATTATTGGGTTTGCATGTCAATTTTTTGATGACTGATTGCTTTTTAATGACTCCTCTGCTCAGCATGCCAATATTGTTTTCCAAACACAATCTTGATTCCTGTTCAACCTGATAAATAGGAATTCTGGAAAGCAGAAAGCAATGATAAGTCTGCAGAGATGTTGTCCATCCATCTTGAAATCGGAAATAGGTCTACATAAACAGGACATAAACATTATGAACGATGACCCAGTTTGCTTATGTGTCTTTTATTAACAAAGTTTGGTCTATTTAAAAAATGTTGCCTTCTAAAAATGAACAGAACAATGAGAGAAATGCAACATTGTTCCAATTTAGCCCGTGTTAGAACAAAGCTAAATACAGTTATGAAAACAGCCTTGGTTTTATTCAAAATACGCCCCCAATAATTTGTATGTTCAACCAAGGACTCATTAAACATGTCGTTTGTGGAAATAATGTACAGCTTATTAAAATAATGCAACTGCAGTAATTGGAGCGCAGAAAGCTCTAATGAGCACACTGGTTTTCACAGAATGAGATTGAGGAGATGCGGACAGAGATGGAGGAGATGCGCGACACCTTTTATGAGGAGGACACCTGTCAGTTACAAGACATGCGGCGTGAGCTCGAGCGAGCGAATAAGAACTGCCGCATCCTTCAATACAGACTCCGCAAGGCTGAACGCAAACGACTTCGCTATGCACAAACTGGAGAAATTGACGAGGACCTCCTAAGGAGCTTAGAGCAAGATTTAAAGGCAAGTACCTATGTTTATATCTTTAAGGGCATGCAGAGAAGGTCTATGATAAATTACCCATCCCCAATGACTTGTTTGCACAATTTCTATCTGATTATTAACTTGTCATTTAGTTGATGCTTCTATCCAAAGCAACCACTAAGCCACACCACCACCATTCTGACAGGTTGCCAAGGATGTGTCTGTGAGACTCCACCACGAGCTGGAGAACGTGGAGGAGAAACGAACAAAGACAGAAGAAGAGAACGAGCGATTGAGACAGAAACTTATTGAGGTGGAAGTCACCAAACAGGCCCTGCAAAATGAGCTGGACAAAGCCAAAGAAGTAGGAATACAAACACAAGTTAATACAGCACATCTAAATAGGTTTAAATACATATTAATTGCATCGCATTCAAATAAATTTGTTGTTTCCAGTCTCAGAAACGAAGAGGAAGCAAAGATGCACAAAAGCCTGAGAGGAAGACTCAGACTCCTACAGAGGTGAGGATAAAACACTGCCGTCAACCAGTATTGGGTCAAATGAAGACTGTTACTTTAAGTGACAAGCTCAAGTTCAAGCTCAAGTAGTTATGCAGCCTTTTGCAAAGATATGAAGTGCATTGTAAACTATAGAGAGAATGAAAAGATAGCATACACACACACATTTTATTAAACCATAACATGTAAAGGTATGGTCACATTTACCATTACTCTTCAAAATGTCAGGGGCGAAATTCAGACATTTCAGTAGAATGTACAGCAGAAATATTTCAGTGCAGTCACGCGTTTTACGCGAGTCAAATTTCATTTTGAAATCGATTCATACATCGCTACACTATTGACAACAGACCTTTTTTTGTCCGCAAAATCTTGTCGAAATTTCGCTAATGGTCCCGCACCTTAACGCAACACTTCTGTCCACAGGAGGACAACGAGGACCTGAAATGCCAGCTGGCCTTCATTAAAGAGGAGGCTACTTTAATGAGAAAGAAAATGGCCAAGATTGACAAGGAAAAGGACCGTTTGGAACAAGAACTACAGAAGTATCGTTCCTTCTATGGAGATCTGGACAGCCCTCATCCAAAGGGTGAAGCTGGTGGCCCACCCACAACAAGGGAATCAGAGCTGAAACTCCGCTTGCGATTGGTGGAAGAGGAGGCCAACATCCTGGGACGTAAAATTGTCGAATTGGAGGTCGAGAACCGTGGCCTAAGGGCGGAGTTGGATGATCTTCGAGGGGAAGATTCATCCAATGGGGGCTTGTCCGGAGCCGAAGGAGGAATGGGGCGCGAGCAGGGGTCGGAGCTGTCGGAGCTGAGGCAACAACTGCAGTTGGTGGAGGATGAGGCGGAGCTTCTGCGGAGGAACCTGGCGGATGTAGAGGAACAGAATAAGAGAGTGACATGTGAGCTGAACAAACTGCGCTTTAAAGAGGGTACGAGGCATGCCTCGGGTGGTAATGCAATGAGTGCCGCCAATTTAGCAGGAGACAGCTCCAAAGCCGAGGCCTTGCAGGAGGAGCTGAAGGCAGCGAGGAAGCAGATCAATGAACTGAGTGGGAAAGTGATGCAGCTGCAGTACGAGAACCGTGTGCTGCTTTCCAACATGCAACGGTATGATCTATCAGCTCACCTAGCCGTCACGCCACGGGACAGTGACGCAGAGAGCGACACTGGTCTTGGAGTCGGAGGGCGTAGAGGTAGCGATGAAGACTCGTCTTCCTCTCGTCTTCCTCCCCATCGCAAACGCGAGGGTCCTGTTGGAGGAGAAAGCGACTCTGAGGAAGTCCGCAACGCTCGGTGCCTCACGCCAACTCGCTCTCTCTATTCTCCAGAATCCGCCCGCCTCCTCTCGCGCTCCATTCGGGACAGACAACAGATGATTGACATCCGTGCCGAAGCAGAGCGATTGGGACGAACCATTGATCGGCTCATAGCCGACACCAGTACCATCATTGCAGAGGCACGGGTGTTCGTATCTAACGGGGATCTTTTCAGCCGTATGGAAGATGACGAGGATGGTGGCCGGATCAGGGAGCACGAGCTTCTCTACCGCATCAACGCTCAAATGAAGGCCTTCAGGAAGGAGCTACAGGGGTTTATAGACCGACTTGAAGTCCCAAAACCAGAGGAAAGAGATTCAGAAGAACCATTATCTGTGAGTCTGGCAAGAGTCTGTGTGTCTATGTGAAGCACAATAAGAATGTTTACAACATTGTAATGGTATAGTTCAGTTCAATTCTGTCATTTACTCACCCTCATGATTCTCTTTCTTCGGCTTAAGAGTGACCAGGGGATGTCAAGCTCCTAAAAGGACAAAAAAGCATAATAAAAGTAGTCTGTACAAATCGTGCACTAAGTCTCCTAAAGCCATAGTAATACCTTTGAGTGAGGAATAGATAAAAAGTTAGGGACTTTATTCACTGAAAATCTCATTTTCGTCAAGATGCATGACACCAAGTTTGACATTTCCACTGTTGGGCCAAAAGCGGGTGTGCTAGTGCGTGCCATATAAATAGTCGCGTTTCCACTGTCACTTCCAAGGCTTGATCGAGCTTCCTTGGGGCGAACGGCCGGGGGGTTTTGCCCACCGAATACCTTGGTCCAAAGCTAGCCAACTGGGGCTTGAGGAATGGTCATGAACAAAGGCAGAGTTTAGGAGACGGTCAACACCGCTGTTCATTTCCAATGTTATTATATCAGGCTACCAACTTTAACATTAAAGACATTTTAAACAATTTTCAGCTCAAAACTAAATTTTGGAGTGTTTGAAATAACTTTCGTGTGATCCGATGGGGATTCTGATCACCGTATGAGGCAGAAATATATTTATATGTGATGCTAAAGGCTACTTATGCTAACCATTCGACAATAAATACATGTTTATGAAAAATACCAGAGACTGCTTGAAGAATGTAGACAAATCATATATGATTATAACCGTGTGTTTATTTGGTTTAATGTTTTATCTTTCTCTTCCCTTTGCCTTTGTTGAGAACATACTAATACATCCGCCATGTCATTAAAAACATGCACTCCAGTTAACTCGCATAACTAATAACTCCTGTATCGTGAGCTCCCTCTGTTGCTCTGGCTGAAAGGATAACAATATAGTGTGAGAGAGAGAGATCACTCAAACCTCCTCAGATCGCATAATTTCATGGAAAATTAATAGAAATGCTCACTAATGTGACGTTTTATAAATATTTTCATAAATGTGTAAGCCTTTTGAATTAAAAGCCTTAATGGAGTTGTTTTGTGCATTCCTGTGATCGCAAGTGAATGTGTGTGTGTTCTCTTTTTAAGTGAAATGGTAATTACCATTTTGAAGAAATGGTGGGGTTGTGTAACGTCGTTCTATGGAGGCGTGTTAAGTGTGGGTTTTAGGGTAGCGCTTGCGGAGCTACTGGGCCGACAGTGGAAATGCAACTTGATTTTGGACTCGGTGCTGGAGGTCCGAGGCTATTGGCCCCACCCAGCACCCTGTTAGCCCTGGCTGGCACTGGCCCAACAGTGGAAAAGCGGCTTGCCAGAACCAATGACATTTGATGTTACGGATGTAAAACTTTACTGAAATGTACGCAAAACACAAATGAGATGTGATTTACAGCAGAGCATATTTGTTAGTTGAATTAAGGTTTAAATAAAATTAAACATAAATATTAGATGAAAAACTCAAACGAAAATTGGAAAGTTTAAGTTGCAGTACTAAAATCTCTTCAACTAAAACTGAAATAAATATAAATTAAAGCTAAATTGAAATATAAAAAATGAATATTTTCAGTGAATAATAATTTATATCTTAATCTGTTCATCAAACAAAATCTATTTGAAGTTTGACCAAAAAAGATAATCACAGGGTGAGTAAATTATGACTTTTTTTTTTTTTTTTGGCCAAACTATTGGCTAACAGAGAGTCCATTGCCTGACTGCTTTTAACATTTAGCAAAATAACAAAGCATAGTTTTGTGATTTGCCAAGATTTTTGTAAACTACTGTATGCAAATAGAAAATGTTAATGGCTATAATATCTTAACCTTTCTCTCTTTCTCTGATCCTGTCTTCCCACACACCCTTGTTTTTTAATGCATGTTCGTTAATCCTGTCGGTTATTCATCCAGATGTTTCAGCCCATCATTTTATTCATCCTCATTCTAGTGTTGTTCTCCTCACTCTCTTATGCCACCATTTTTAAACTTGTATTTCTTTTTACCCTCTTTTTTGTCCTGTGATCTCCATCCGTCCACTCATTAGCATAGTCTCGCCCTTTGTTTCGTTTGTTTGTCAATGTTGTGTATGTCACCATGGTTGGAGAATCACAGGACAGTCACTTTCCAAGCACAGACAGCACGCTTAAGCACAGAAGTCTGCAAAACCTTAATTTCCAAAACGCTGGAGGCTGTTTTACCCAAATTACAAACATACGGCTGCCATTGGAAGGCACATCATCGAGATGAATTTTTTTTGCAAAGAAAGACTGTTATACATCATGAAAAACATTACATGCATTTGTCAAAGTGAAGACATAAATATCATTGAGGCACTGGAAACTACATTACCCAGAAGACATTTCTTTCATTGAGGCTATCTGGCACATTGACACTTGCTTTGCCACCAAAGACTTGCAACGAAATATGCAACTGCATTTACCATTGAGGAGCACATGACCACATTGGCCAGAATGCCAGCCACTGCATTCTTAAGATACATCAACTGGAATGATTACCTGTTAGAAGCATGCAAAGGTGAGTTAGAACATGGTATTCAATAGTACGGTCAGAGAGGACATGCATACACATGGAAGGATAGACAATAAATGACAGGTAGGAACTAGGAATCATCTGTTTTAATCACAAGAACAACAGTTTTGCATAGATAGATAAATAGAAAAAAATAAGTTTGCACAAGAACCTGAGGAAATTGTAGCACAAATGTTGCATAAAAGGTTTTATATGATAAGCTAAATAACATCTGTGACTTGGGTGTGGGAAAGTGCTTATGTACATGATAGCAGTATGCGAAAAGCCCCTTCTGTTGCGCTCTCTGTTGCACCAGAGCAGGATCAGTCTCCTGCTGAACGTGCTCCTCATGCCAGCAAGTATATTATGGAGGGGTTACTCATGATGATCAGCAGTTTGAACATCAGAGCTTCCTTTCTTTATGAGTTTATTTAGCTTGTTGGCATCTCCAGTTTTAATCTCTGTTGACAGACCCGAATTTTCTCAAGTCTTCGGCAGTAGTTCCTTAGTAAGTTCCTTAGTATTTAAAAGGATATTTCACCCAGAAATGACAATTCTGTCATTAATTACACTCCCTCATTTCTTTCCAAACACATAAGACTTGTTCATCTTCTGAGCACAAATGAAGATCTTTTTTGATTAATTCTGAGCTATTTCTGTCCCTCTGTTGACAGCTACGCAACTACCACTTTGAAGCTTCAAAAAGGTCATAAAGAGATCGTAAAACTAATCCATATGAATTGAACGGTTTAGTCCAAAATTTTCCGAAGAGACATGATCGCTTTATATGATGAACAGATTGAATTTAGACTTTAATTCACATTTACACATTGATCAACTCACACATCAGTTGTGGTAAACGGAAGCTCAAGCATGTTCACTTGACGTGTGAGAAACAATGAGGTTCATTCTCGTGTTACGCAGCACGTTTGAGTTTCTGCAATTAACAATGAGGTTCATTCTCGTGTTAGGCAACACGTTTGAGCTTCTGCAAGAACCAATGAGGTTCATTCTCGTGTTACGCAGCACGTTTGAGCTTCAGCAAGAACCAATGAGGTTCATTCTCGTGTTACGCAGCACGTTTGAGCTTCTGCAAGAACCAATGAGGTTCATTCTCGTGTTACGCAGCACGTTTGAGCTTCTGCAAGAACCAATGAGGTTCATTCTCGCACGTCAAGCAGGTTCGGTTGAGCTTCTGTTCATGTTCGCTGATCAATGTTAATGTGTATAAAAGCCTAAAATAAACCTGTTCATCATATAAAGCGATTGAGTCTCTTCAGAAAATTAGGACTAAACCGCTCAATTCATATGGATTAGTTTTACGATCTCTTTATGAAGTATCAAAGTGGTAGTTGCGCAGCTGTCAATGGAGAAAGCTCTCAGATTTCATCAAAAAGGTCTTCATTTATGTTCCAAAGATGAACGAAAGTCTTACGGATTTAAAATTACATGAGGGTGAGTAATTAATGACAGAATTTTTCCAGAAATATCCCTTTAAATAATTGCTAAAAAAAAATAACTATGGAAGCATTGGGTTCACAATTTATTTGGATCACCAAAAAAACACATTTGTTTTGTTTTGGTTTAGAGGGGTCTAGGTTAAGACAATTAAACTTAAAGAACAGCTACTCATCTGTTTTCTAGAAGGAGTCTCTTTTTGGAATTTGGAAAAGTCATTGCTTCTCATTTTCCTGCCAGCTGAAAGTAACATTAGTGAAAAACAGTCAAACATACATCTTCGGTTTTGCCAGTTTTACTGTCTCCATTCTCCGAGGTTTCTGGTTTGTTGTTTTCCTTCTGCATTATTGTGCCTGGAAACTATTTGAGTCAGCGGCCAATATTAGGCCTGAACTGTCGGCTGACTGTTTATTGCACAACAGCCACATGTGTCAAATAAATACCAGCGTGAGGCGCCCATTAAGAACCGCGGACAGCACACTTAGTATCCGCTAATTCTGTCCGGTGGTATCTTAAAAATAAAATGGACAGAGTGTTTTGAGAGTCACAAATAGCCCAGTTGCCTGTTAGGATTAGTAGAAATCGAAACAACTGGAATAAGAGTCACAAGATTGCAATCTGCCAAGTCCTAAAAGCAGACTAGCAACAGTTTCACAGAGGTGGGGTAGAACTGGGCATTTTAAAATAGCCATGTAAACACTCTCCCTCTGCCTTTGTAACTTTAACCTAGAATGTCGGTGACGACAGTCTCTTACATGGAGACCACAAATGCTGGAATAAATCTGACATTATGACACCGGATACCTAGTGGGTCTGACGTCGCAGGGGTAAATACTTAGAGTCACTATAAAGCCCCGGGGCCCCCTCAGGACTACAGTTGTTTACCCCTGAGCTCCGGACAGAGGAAACATTTAAGATCCTACACGCAGGACTTTTACGTCACGCCGTGGGGCATGAGACTCCGGGGTCTTTTGCGCTGTTACATGCTGTTCGAGTGCAGGAGCTTTTAAAAGAAGAGGTGCTACTGAAACAAGAGTGATCTTGATTTAAGAGACAAACCTGTACTTGAGCAACATACTCATATTCTGGAGCATCAGTTCATCACAAGCTCATGAGAGGGAATTACCGGAGGAACCAATAATTTTAACTGGTAAGGATTAAGAAAGCTTGTAGACAAGAACAGACCAGACACTTCCTCTTTTAAACCCTTTAAAGTAGGAAATTATTACTACTACTTGTAACTCCTTAGAAGCTTTTTAACTTTTCTGTGATCTTTCACTTGGGTTGATAATGTTAAACAACATTAAGAACCTTGCAGCCACACTGGTCACACTTAAAGTATTACTGTATTTGCATACGTAATATAGATAAGTGCATATACTTGCTAATATGTAAATATTTTTTGGAACTGTATGTAAATACGGTATTAGTAGTATGATTATTAATATAAGCATGTTGTAATATAAACCGGTACACACTTACTCTATGTCTTTTTAGTTTCATGACACATAATTGCAAAGGGTATAAATATCCCTCAATGCCTACGTCATATGGTGGTACATTCTGGCAATTTCATGAGTTAAACTGGGTGTCATGTTCCTTGATGGTAGAAAAGTCCATCCCTAAATCACTGCCGTAAATCAAAGATGTGTTACAGAAAAACTCAGTGACGTTACCACGGAAAGGATGCAACTATTCTGAGCTCATCCAAGCGGGTAAAGGGTTCTGCACTTGCTTGGAACTTTGACCTCATCCCTATCCCGAAAGAAGTGGTGTTACTTCATAGTTAAAGATTTAAGCTGGCTGTAAGGTGTAGGTTCCTATTTTGTAAGGGGCAACCAATTACCCTTTACTATTTTGCCCTTGATCAAGAGAGATCAGGTTACCCCAGGGAGACTGTCCATGTTATAAAACTGACTTCAGAATCCCTGAAGTCCCTTTAGGTAACTTGAGCATGTCTAATGAAGTTGGTGTGTAAAGAACGTGCTGACAATTTTGACAGTTAAGGGCTGGTTTGAAGGACAGGGAATGCATATAGAAATGAGTCAAAGTTTTAAAGCAGGTGTCCAGAGCAAATAGCTGGGATTTTGTTTCCTTTCATAAGTCTACTTGAATGCAATACAGTCAGGAAGACTTCACTAATGTTTAGACTCATAACACCTTTGAACTGCAAAGCAATCCACAGTTGACACAGTAGAATTCATTTATTTACTTGAGATATTTAACTACTCTGCTTACTTAAGAGTACTCTAAATAATCAATAGGCTGTTTCTCAATGATGAATGTCTTTTTTGTCTTCATAGAGGTATTGGTGGACTTGCCAATGTGGTCACTCCAGTGACCTTTCAGGAATTGCAGCATAATATTCTGAGCACAGACAAACAAGTGCAAAAGAATGGCCGCATTGGAATTGCACTGTGGGCCGGAGCCCAGGAGTTGTGTGTGGGGTGGAGAGAGAGCTGACCTGCTTGATAGTTTTGACTCCGAGATGCAGGAATGGGAAGATCAGCTACAGGACATGCAGAGGAAGATTGAAGAGGTGAGAAAAACTTTCAACTGCAGCGACACCAGTCAGTGTGACAGAATCCATCTCCATATCTAGAGAGAGAGAGAAACTCATTCCGATCCTTATTTAAAGATGTAAATAAACATAAAAAATATGATGCTCTGATTTGACTATAAACAATGCCAAAAGATCCAGTAGCACTGGTAAGCAAATAACCCCCTTCTTTCCCACTGACCCCTTTCTGAAGAAAGCAAAGAATTGCATGTCTACACATTATACCAGAAGTATTTGCTGACTTGTGCATTTGAAACATTTGCTTTCATGTTGGCAAAAACAAAAAATCATGCTTTGCAGCTGCTGAGTTTGTCTCTAATATTATGATATGTATTTCAGTTGTACAACGAGGTCAAAGCACGAAGAGAAGCCAGCGAAAGCAGCACAAGCAATGTCACAAACAACAAAAGCCTGGACATTACTTTGCTTCCTGTCAACTCTCAGTATAGACACCAGGCCAATGGTTATCACGAACCCCATGGTCACCCCAACAACAACCTCCCAATTCGTCAATGCGATGAAGTAAGAGCAGATCGTTCAGTTATGCAAAGCCTTGGGTTTCACCACCCCAGTGATTACTATAATGGCTCCAGCAATTACACACTTAAGTCCCTGAGCAACGACAGCCATTATCCTGCCAGTTGTCATGATCTTGAAAGGCAAGATGCCACCCTAGACATCCTCAATGGATATCTCCAACAGGGCCCGCATTTTGGAAAGAACTTAGGGAATCTTGGAAATCCAAATGCAGTGAGTACCTCTCACACTATTTATCAATCTATCCTTCATCTAGACTCTTAAACCCCAAGGATTTGGTACCTTTGATATCCCTCTTATATTCCATATCTCCCTCTTTTTGCTATCAGAACCCCAAGGTATATCCAGTTACACACAGTTATCAAGATAGCATGAAGACTAGCCTGGTGACAAACAGGTAAAGCCTTTCCTATCTCAATTTATCAGAATGAATCCTATTGTTTGTTTTATCATCATGCATGTTTCTTGTTGGATGATTGACCGATTATAAGTGTTCGCCCAATTCCCTTTTGTGACTACTTTTGATTGATTTTGGTTGATTTGTCTTTTCACTTCAGGACTGCCTCATGTATAGTTCTGGATGAGTTTGAGGAGTCTGAGAACAACAAGAACAAGAAATCAAGTTGGGATGACTCCCAAGCCCGCCATGTTAGCTGGAAAGACCCAGTTTCATCAAACGAGCTTCCCCCTAAAAATTCAGCTTCCAAACTGGCAATCAGACAGAGAGATGCTTCTCCTGTAACCCCTCGTTCCACTTACCATGAGTCATCACAACAACCTGACAGGAAGTGCCTCTTGCTTGACAGGAAATCTGGCAGCCCATCAGTGTTGCGTAAGTTTGGTGCCATGTTGCAGGAGAACGAGGGAAAAACCCTGATAGAGGATGGTCTTGTGACCACCGTTGTCTCCACTGAAACTCCGAGGCACACCAGCACTCCTATTTGCCAGAGCAAGTTTGACGCCAAGCGGGCATCCACACGTGCGCCCGTCCAGAAATGCCTTGCAAACTGTGACGTACTGGTAACAGAACTGGAGTCCAGCCAGGAGCCTTGGGCAGCTGGTCCTTCTAGACACCTCCTGAATGGAGACAGAGACAGTGGGAGGGGTGGTAGTACTCTTGAACAGTATGGTTTGGCATATAACTTAAGCCCATCACAGTCTCACCTTAAATCGAAGTATCACAAGGCGCCTCCAGGGCCAAAAACCCACAAAGCAGGCTTCCAGGGTGAGGACCTATTGTCTGACTACCAGATGGTGGAGAGGATTCTGGCAGCAGGAACTCAAAACTTCAGTAAGATACACACAGGGCTTGGTGTTGATAAGAAGAGACAGGGAAATGACAACTTGGAGCAACTTCTAGAAATGATGGAAATAGAGAACAACAGAACTCAGAGGGCCACATTCACTCAGCAACTGGACACCAAGCAGGTAAAGAGGGTATTCAAATGTGATCTTCACACACTAAATTACAATGCAATATTCATCCTTGTCTGAGCGATGGTGCAATGGTAGTGCACATGCTCTCGGCCAGTGTTCCTCATTCCTGGGTCTGGAGAGCCACTTTCTTGAAGTTTAGTTCCAACTCTGCTCCAACACAATTGGGAAATTCCGGTTATTTTTAAATTAAATTCAGGTAAACCCAACCACCTCGATTAGTTACTTCAGTCATGTTTAAATAAAGTTGAAACTAAACTCTGCAGGAAAGTGGTTCTCCAGGACCAGGAATGAGGAACCCTGCTCTGAGCTGTAGTGCTCCCGATCCCATTCTCCCCTCTCTACCTTACACTACTTTATTTTACGTTTCCTCTAACCTGCCAATTAAAGACAACATATTGGTACATAAAATGCAAGAATATTCACCCAAGTATTGATCATTTATGCACAAAGATATTTACATTCAAATATTTTCCCCTCCAGGTCAACCACGAGTCATCTGTTGCCCCCAGCAGTAGCAATTTTTCCCGTCCTGCTAGACCAGCCAATCAACGCCGTCCATCCAGGTGGGCAAACCATACCCCCTCAAGCAAAATCACCCACACATCCTGCCCATCAAGCCCTGGCCTTAAAGCCAAACAATTCTTGAATTCATATTCCCGGCACACAGAAACGGTGATCATGTGACCAGGATAGAGCAATGTTGAATGGACACATAAAAGGACATTTTCACCAAAGGGAATAGACGAACCTTTGACCTTTTGTAGAACATGATCTTCTTTTTGTATATAACCACCACAACTTCAAAGTACCGTACTGCAGCCTGCTAGGATGGCCTATGATATTTTCATTAAATAACTTCAAAAGGATACTGTTTTCATTCAACTCTACGCTGTTGCTTTGGAAGGAAACTCGAGTGGAAATTCTCTGACCTGGTGAACTTCTGTGCCTATGAACCTTTCATTGCCTTTTTCTCTTCCTTTCTTTCTGTCATTCTCATTACATTTTTTATTATTTTACTATTTTTTTCTATTTTCCTGAGTGCTTTGTGTACGGTTCAGTTCTTTGGGTGCCATGTAGGGCATTTTTTGTAACCATATAAGCATGTATGCAACACGCATAACATATTTAAGCATACATGGCAACATGGAGTTATTGAGCCTTATCTATTATGCATTATCTGTAAAGGCGTGCGCAAATGTTTTGATGTTCTGTCAAAGTCCATTTCAGTGCTGCATTAGTGCTTCATAATATTGACATACAGAGGTTGTAATGGGCTCATAATTGTTTTTAAGCCTTATTTGACTGCGCCTGACGTGGACTGTAACTACGTGGTGCATGGCACCTTTCTGCGGGAACATGTCTGCATTCTCCAGCCTTGTAAAAAAAATCCTTTAAGTTCAACATCTGTGAAAAGTAAATGATATCTTTTGACCATATTATAATGAAGAAATGCTTCGGAATGTTTATTTAATGTTGTGATATGATCCTTACAAAAACGTGATGCTTTTTTTCTTTTTTTTTTCTTTCTCTGTATAATAAACGCAAGTGCTTTGACGAGTCAGTGAAACGCTTGAACTTTAGACTCTGTACACTTCATTGTTTTTTATTTTAGTGGCGATTGCTCATATTTGCACTAATATTCCTTTTCTGATCAGCGTGCTATTACATTCCCTTGTCATCTGGCTAGCTGATTTTCACCTGGAAGACAATAAAACAGGCAACTTATGGATCAACCCGAGTCATCTAGGGACTTGGGAGTGGGTTCTTTTGACTTTAAGCCAGTAAACAACCACATAGCAATGTGTTAACAACCACTCTGAGCACCCTAATAATTACATAGCAACAAACTTGCAACCACCAATAATATCCTAGTAGCATCTCAGCAACTTGTCCAAGGGCATGTTGTTCAGAAATGTACAAATCTAGTATAGTTTCCTGAGAATGTGGCAACCGGGGGGTACATTTTTCGTCTTACATCACTCATTTTCCTACAAAGCAAACTACAGTATAAGACGCTTCATGCCAACATTGAAGCCCCTCTTTAATTATCTCCTTGTTAAACAGTATTAACATTGCTTTTATCCTACGTTACTAAAAGCTATTAGGAAGTGTCCTGTTCCTCATTCAGGGTCCTAATGTAGCCTACTCTTATGAGCTTTGCTCTCTCTCTTTGAGCCCTGCTCTCCCGGTTACTCGACCCGCTGCTGAAATGTTGCACCTGTGCCTGAAATAGGAAGCGTGACGTTGTTTTGGTGCCAGAAATCTTAGACGTGTCGGTGCTAAGGGGGACGTGTGATGTCCAGGGGGCATCTCTCTCTTGTCTCACTCTGAACCTGTAAATGAGCAATAACGGCTTCCCTTCATCATAACACCACCCTTGAAGCACAGAGCAGTATCTTAATGAGGTCTTTATATATAGATAGATGTTCACAACTTACATGTGAGGTCTTCATAGCACGCCACATGAACTTGTGATTATAGGACTGGAGTAACCTGGAATTAAATTCATTGCACATTTCTTGCTGAGTTCAAACCAGCATCATTCTGGTTACCAGCCCTGAGCCTTAACCACCATCTTTGCATCCTTGAAAACCTGATGTTTGTGTGAGTGGTGCTTTGCTTACCCAAACAAAACTCTTTGCCAGGATGTTTGTCAAGTGGTTGCAAAGTTGTTTCTTCAGCTAGGGCATTGCTGAGTAGTTACTTGCAGACCAAAGAGCTAAATCTTTTATATATTCTGAGGTAAGCTGTAAACTGAAGCAATAGCAATAGCGATGCCTTAGCAAATGACTAAAGGAATGATCAAAGACGTCTCTGTGCAATTGGTGAATTACCAATGTCTAATCCTGGACAGCAGAACACAGACAACTTGGCTATATAAAGCTCTGTAAGTGAACGCTGATCTCAGATCATCTCGGCCAGTGTCACCTGCTGTTGTAGAAGTGTATGGGGAACCGCTTGAATGTGTAAGAGTTGCCCAGTAACACATCTGTGATGTCAGAGAGGAAAGACAACCAGTAAGGAGCCCTTCAGATGTCTTGCCATGTGTCTCCTGCTGCAGTACATTACATAAAAAGAGAGAGAGAGAGAGAGAGAGAGAGATACAATTAGGCAAGTAAATGATTGGATACAATAGTGGCCCAAAAGTTAGCAAATCAACTGCTTCTAACTATGCAAGTTTGATTTTTACATGTTGATGCATCCTGAAGCGCAAATCATAATACAAGTAGTCAAGTACTACATTGTGCATTCTCACTTTATCAAAAGGGGCGTTATAGAGGGCTGGTTTAGCTCCTGTGTATTTAACCAATCTTCTATCATCCTACTATCCATCACGCTCTTTAAGGTCACAAAACTCTGGGCTTTTTGTTGTACCTATCTAAGTCCACTAAAGGAGGGAGAGCGTTTTCACATTTGGCTCCTAAACTCTGGAATAGCCTTCCTGATAATGTCCGGGGCTCAGACTCACTCCCAGTTTAAATCTAGATTAAAGACGACACATATCTTTAGCCAAGCATTCACATAATGCATCTCATAACCTTGTACTCCAGTTATATATTGAAATGTTATGAACAGCAGCTACACTAATTATTTTCCATTTGCTTTTCTGTTTTATCTCGGGATGCCCATCCTGAGGTAACTACTTCAGCTCAAGTTTGGATCCAACCTCTTACGAAGACTTCAGATGCCCAACACATGTGAAGAGATGATTTCAACTACTGCGAGGACTTCAGATGACACATACTCTGAATCAACATGCGCCAATGCTAAATTTTCTTTATACTGTAATCATTATGTTCACAACTTGGAATAATTACTTCAGTAAGCTCATTGTTTCTGCCTTAAATTAATACATGATATTAGCTATCAACGTGATTTACATTTCTGAAATCCATTACTTGGACACAGTCACCTCTGATTACAGATCACTCCAAATTGTAATGTAGACATGCATTTTCTGTAAAGCTGTATTGTGAAAAGCGCAATATAAATAAATGTGAATTGAATAGGCATTGAGAAAGGTCACATGATGCGACCAAACCGTTTGCCACTTTTTCATAAACCAATGTTTTTTTTTTATGGAATTGGTGGTTCCCCTTCATTGTTAGTGTGCTGGCTTTTTGAAGTGTTTGCCTAATTGGTGTTTTTGGTCTACGCACCTCATTTGGACAATTTTAAGGCGCAGTGAGTTTCTTCATGCTTGCATAGAGAATATTTGTTGTCTTGAAATAAGGATCCTTTAAATTGAGACGGCCTTCGGCGGCGCATGATGACGTATATGCAGCCTTACCGGACGCAGCCTTCCTGCAGAAACCATAGACTGTAAAAAAAGATGGACGACGCCCCTTCGCTCTTTTCCATTGGAGAGAACTGAAGCCGCCAGTGTCCCGATATGGCGCTGACATATTGGAACTTGAGTCTGCACAGTAGCGTTTTCGGGACCAGTCATGCGCAGTCGCGAGCAGGAAGTAAAGCCGCGAAATCAAGGCCCCGCCCCCACTCCCGCTGAATCAATCGTAAGCACACGCCCCGGCACTTTTCCTAAGTGGCCTTGTCTGCTCCGTTCCTCTCCAATGATGTCTGCTGATTGCAGTACCTTATTAAAATAATACAGCTACTTAACACATAGTCAACATTATGAAAAAAAGTCCGTTGGTGCTTCAGTGACTACTTCGCACAGAGAAGCTGTCAATCACTAGCCTGGCTCCGCCCTCCTACGCACTTCCGCTCAATTTTATTTTCCTTCAGTACTACGTCTGGGATTGTGCTGTAGACTTTGGTTTCCAGAAATAATTTTTTTACCGGTCCAATCAGCGAACAGAGGGAGTGGCTGAGAACGATGACGTTGATGTAGCGCGTCAGTTTGAGTTGGAGTTCAGTAATGGCAGCGGAGAAAGACGTGAGAAAATCTATTCGGTCCGTTGTTGCAAAATTGCCGAATATCCAGAAGTTAAAGCCGGAGCAAGATCAATGTTTGCTAAGTGTTGTTGGTGGCCCTCCTCCCCACGGGGTTCGGGAAAAGTTTAATTTTCCAGCTCACTCCGCTAGTGGTGACTGAGTTAGCTAAGGCGAACGATAGGATGCAAAGCCGATAGTTGTTGTCGTCTCTTCTTGTTGCACTAATGGAGGACCAAGTGAGGGAGGCAGAAAGGTTAGGAGTTGGTGCTGGGCAGCTCGGCGTGCACGATGATCACTGTACAGCATTTGCGGCAGATCCGAAACGACCGCAGCGGCGTATTGTTAATGATTACACCCAGCTTCGACAGTTGACTGAATACATCACTGTCCTTAGTGTCAAATATACATTTAGAATTTAGAATTGTTCCTTGAACTCTTAAATTCGATTAACAAAACATGCAGCTCTCGTTGACAGACATCTTATTCTAAACATAATCCTCTGATCATTCGGACTTGTTTTTTTTTTTATTGCTTAAAACAATACACAAGTAATAACAGAAAACATAATACAAAAACAAACAAAAAATAATAATAAAAACAAAACAAAAATAAAACAGTAGGGGGATAATATAAAATAAACATGAACAAGTTAAGAGAATTACATGACACTGAAAAAAGGAAAACAGATAATGTTTTTAAGGCTTTTTTTTGTTCTCAGACAACTTAATTGAAAAGAGGTATTTTTAAAATTCTTTCACAAATATAAGAAAGAGAGGTTTAGCATTTAGATATTTAGATTTATGAATATGGAATTCGGACTTGTTGTTTCCAGCCGGTTTCGGCGCATGACATACGTCACGACCACACGTTAGCTATGGCAGATCCTGAGTGACGCTGGGCAGATCCAATAGTTT